GCTTGGCATTTGGTGATTGAGCTGCTGCACAAACTTGGATAGACATGTTTTTTTATAGAAAAAAAATCAGACGGTGCACTTATTAGTACTGTTTTGTTTTCTATATGCTTAGAGCTTTGCTATGAAAAACATGGATATATATAGGCAAGGGGTTGGGATATAAGATTATTGCAAAGCAACAATAGAATCGTGCATAGCAGGTAGAATTTCCAAATCAACAAGGACAATGCTTGCCTCTTGAAACAACACGTGTTTCTTTTATCTCATCTTTTCTCTTTTATTCTTTCAACTCCTTTAACTCAAGTTTTTTTTGTTGGTTTTCTTTAACTTGGGTTAGTTTTAAGGGGGAAAAGACGAAGGCAGGGGCGGTGCCTTGGGCTTGGTAGGTAGGCTACTATAAGTAATATTATTATAAGAAATAGATATAATAGTATAAATAATAGGAGAGATCAGATGCGGACCTACAGAGGCGCAAGGAGGTGCAGTTGCACCTCCCCTTGCCGGAAATCCTGTGAAGAGGCTGGATTATGCACCTCTGCTGGTCCCAAGGTTCTGCATCTGAGGTGTGTTGCAAGGGGTTTCAAAACGAGGAAGATGACTTGGGTTTTCTGGTTTTCAATTTGTTGCAGCACAAACGACGTCGTCTTTGTTATCCTCCAGCTCAAAAGGCATTTAATGAAACGGGGAGTATTGATTGATGCAATTCTGACTTTCAGCAAATTACCACTTTAACCAACTTATTATCCTCCAGCTCAAAAAAACCTTTTAATTATCCCATAATCAATTAACCATGTGAGAATATTAGGATTCCCTTCCATCTAGAAAACCCACAACCCAAAATTACTTCCCATCTCGAAGATTTCTTCAGTGCAAATTTAAGTGCTGATGGGTTAGTCTTGAAGATATATTTTATGAGGTAATATTTCTTGTGGTTTTTACAAGTTATTATTTCTCACTTTTATTTCTCATTATTATTTCTCACTTTTATATTTTAGGATTCCTTTTTCTGCTTAGATGAATAAGTATGTAAATTTAATTACATTACACAATTGATGTCTCAAAAATCATACTCCTCACTGTTTAAAATTTTGGCTAGTATTTGACTAAATGTCTCAAAGAGGTTTCCATGTTTTTTTTGTACTGTTATTTTTTTCATCAATTATGAATGACATTAGTATTGTTTAAATTATAAGGATATTTAGTTTTTATTTATTTATTTTATTTTATTATTTTATAGCTTTTAGCTTTTAATAATTGCACCTCCGCTGAAACATTCCTAGGTCCGCCACTGCCGCCAGCTGCTTAGAGCAACTCCACCCATTTGCCCCTTGCCATGGCAAAAGGGGGGTGGGGGGTAGGGCAGCCACTATTCACGTGAATAGTGGTTGCCCTTGCAAATAGTATATTTTGTGTTTCCACCCGTTGCCATGGCTAAGGGCAATTACTATTCATTTTTTTAATTTTTTTCACAAATTTTTTTACCTCAATAATTAATTTGGATAATATTTTCGGATAAGATTTCCGGGTTCCTACGTGTCACGACTATTCATAATCGGATAAAATTTCCGGATAAGATTTTTGGGTTCAATTTTCGGATGAATTTCAAAATTCAAAATTCAGATAAATTTTTGGGTTCAAATTTCGGATGAATTTCAAAATTCAAATTTCATGGTGCTCCACGCCCCTCCGGTTTCGATAGAAGAAGCCATAAAAATAAGAAAAAAAAAAATACAAGGTGAAAGAGAGGAAAATGTTGAATAAAGAGTGAATAATAGTAGAAGTAGAATAAAATGTATAAGGATTGGTGTTGAAAGTGAAGGGTATTGATAGGTATTTATAGAAAAAAAAAAATCAGAGTTTTTTAGTATTTTTTTAAAAAAAATACGATTTTTTTTTCATAATTTTATTGCCAAAAAAATGTCAGCCGTTGGATTGGAGGAGAGAAGCAGATCAGAACGCCCAGGTTACGACACTTCTAGCCGTTGGTGCTTGCGCAGGGCTGACGTCAGCGCAAGCTAATTCAAATTTTTTTTACTGTTGGCGCGTGCATTCACGCGCCAACGTTAAAAAAATTTACTTCCGCTCGCTGACGTCGTGCTGACGTCAGTGCTTACGTCACCCAAAACTCGAGTTGGCCCTTAGGCTGAACTGGCCTTTGGGACAGCCCGACTTGCTGGGACCCGCACCTTGCCCGGGCTTGGGCTGACCGCTGGAAGCTTCATTTTTTGTTTTTCTCCCCCCAGCCCAAGGCTAGGGGCTCCGCTGGAATGGCTCTTATTACCCTCTTTCGTCCTTCAACCATTTTTTTTTCCCTTCTTCTTTCTTTCCTCTCTCTGGCTGTTTTTTTCTTTCTTTCTTTTTTCCTTCTTATAATTTAGTAATTTTGATGAAATAAAGACCACCTTTTTTCCATTTTTTTCCCCACGATCCTCATATCAACTGAAGCTAGATCTTCATTTTATTTCCATTTTGGCTGGCTTAGTATGGTGTCTCTGGCCATCTTTTTTTTACATTTTTGCCTGACTTGGTGTGGCTAGAATGGCACCGGCAAGTTTTTTTGGTTTCACCTCTATTTAGCTTGTAAGTTTTCTCCTCCTTCTCCCTCTCCCTCTCCTCCTCCTTTCTTCAACAACCATGAATTTTTTTTTTTAGAAAACAAAAAAAAAAAAAAACCTGCAAGTCACCCTCCCCTGCCTTCGTCTCTCTTTCCTTAACTTACCCAAGTTAAAAAAACCAGCAAAAGACTTGAGTTAAAGGGGTTGAGAGAAAAACAAAAGTCAAAAAGGAAAAAAAACACGTGTTGTTTTGTAAAGAAGCCACGTTAGCCGTTGAGGAGGAATATTAGGAGCCATGCATTGTCCAATCAACAATTTCCATGGTACCCCCCTTCACTATTTTGAATGCAGGATACACACTTTTTTAACCCATAGATGAAATCAGTTTTAATGGCTTGGATGACATTGAAAAACAAATCAACACCATCTTAAACATGATTAATAAGTAATATATTCTCTCTCCTCTCTCGTCATAAATTCGTTTGGACCTTACCCCTTTAACTCAGGACATGTGTCACTTTCTTTACATTTAAAACAATATCATTAATGTATCACATAAACTAATTTTTATTTTTCAAGTTTACCCTTATTAATATCAAAATTAAGATATGAGGCTCCTCCATTAACGATCACACTGGATCAAAGAAACTATGGTATGGACATCCAAATTAAGAGTGCTAACTCAAATTAAAACAACCAAAAATCAAGCCATTGATCCTTTCTTACATTGAATTTGAGAGTTGGACAAGTTTTTTTAGAGGACATCAAGTGGGGCATATTGACAATTCGGTACAGAAATGTTATCCACATACATCTTAGCACACTTAGCACCTTACAATCTTGGCATAATATCCACACTCAGAAAAAATTCAAAAATATATACAGCCTTGACAAATAGGAAATTCAGATATTGAACGGCCATAATTTTGATCACCGGTTAAATGGGCCAATCCTGCTAAAGCTTGCCTGAAAAAGAAGAACCGCCTAATCAATGAGTGGTACGGTTAACCCACCAACCAGTAAGGATCAAATGAAAACTAAGATGTTTACTCTTTGGTGCTCAATTTTGATCCTTACATTGAATTTTGAGAGCTGGACAAGTTTTTGAGAAGACATAAGGGGGACATATTGACAATTCAGTACAGAAATATTATCCACATAGATCTGAGCACACTTAGCACCTTACAATCCCTAATATATACAGCCTTGATAGATAAAGCTTGAAAAATATAATTTTCACAAAGGAATATGACTATTGATTATATTCTTAGAAAATATGGGTTGGGATATAAGAATTTGGGTGGCAATAGCCCACTCTATTTTGTTTAAAAGTAGTCTTCGTTCTTGAAAGTTTAAGTGACAAAATCTCATGTGCGATCCAAGTATGCTTTCTCAACCTCTTGAGACGTTCTAGTTGCTGGTTGTGTTAGTTTTGAAAAATTTATGCGTTTTGGTAGTCGATTAAGCGATGGAAGTTTGACTGATTTTCGGCCTTCGATTCCGGCCACTTCCGTCGACTTTTTGGGGTCGGTCCAAGAACAAAAGTGGCTCCAATTGATGTCTTGAACCTAGGGTAGAAATATTAGCCCTTGATTTTGAAGTTTTCTGGCGAATGGTATCGTTTAGGACACCCACGCACTGCCCGCGTGTGGGCATTGTGGCAGAGGGGCATTGTGCTCCGATGCGATCACCTTATTGTCACGAGAGCGTAGGTGTGCTTAGATTTCAATTATGATGTTGTTTGAGTCTCGAATGGATTTCGCCTATTGTTCGTTAATATATGTTGATCTAGGCATTCCTAGGATCGTGTAGGAATTCGTGGATCGTGGATCAGAGCCCCGGATGTTCCGATTCAATAACTTAAAGTTTGAGTTTTACGATAACTGCCCAATTGTGCGATCGCGAGTGATCTAACCGTCCAATCTGGACCAAACTTACATGACGTATTTTCTAAATCTTGTGGAACCCATAGGAACGTTCGGATCATAAAACAGAGGTCGTGGGCCCAAATGGCCCGATTGACCAAATTTTGGAAAGTTTGACCCTCGGTTGATCGTGAGTCTTCCGAGGTAGTTTCACCCTTCGAAAAGTATTAGGATAGCCTAGTAAACAAGTCTTAGGGGGGTGTATTCAATTAGGATTTTAAAAGATTATTTTGGGATAAATAAGTCTTGTGGTATTCAATTAAGACTTTTAAATAATCTAAACAAGTCTTGTGGTATACAATCAGGACTATTAGGATTTTTTAAAGAGGATGTCCAAATCTAGTGGTATTCAATCTAGACTTTAAACAAGTAATAAAAAGTCTTTTGGTATTCAAAAACTTGCTAATTTCGAATGATTTTTTTTTAAATAGGGAATTGGTGTGACTTTTTAGTGGGAGGTATAAATACCAAACCCTATAAAAAAAATCCCACCCTAACCCATCAGACTTTTCACGTGAGATTTTTTTTTGTCTGCTAGAGAAGACGAACAGCTCTTCGTGAAGATAAACAGCTCTTCAACAAGGTATTGCTTCCTTCTCGTGCTATGTCTTCTTGCGTTTATTGTCTATATATTTGTTATATGCCATGTTTGTATATGATCTGTGTCTATGGCCCTTCGTGGGTTTGCTGCTATCTTTTCCATGCTTCGTGGGTCTGTGTCTCGCAACAATTGTTGCTACATATTGCATGAACAAAACAGGTCTGGTCCAATATAGTAGAATTCGTATTTCTTCAATGACTTTATAATAGCACTCAAGAATGACCAGACCAATACAGTAGTTTGATACTCTCATCGACAAATACATGAGTTTCTAGGAAATCAGTATTTTCCAATTCGAAGATTAACCCCCACAAGGATTGCCAACATATGTTAGTATTTTCAGTTCAACAGTAACATATGCTTATTATTGTAGCAGACCAACAAATTGTCTTTTATTTTTATTTCAGAGTTTTAGGGGGGTGTATTTTATCATCCTTCATCCAGACCAACATATGCTTATTATTGTAGCAGCTAGTTGAAATTCATATGCTTATTATTGTTGTAGTGATTAGTTTCTGGACAATTAGAAATAAATTGAAAACAATAGTTTTCGTTTAGGAATATAACACCCGACATACACATGGACAATTAGAAAGAAAATAAAAAATAGAAAACATGAGTGAAATTCTTTTCTTTTATTTTCTTGTTTGGTATGATATGTATTCTTGTGAAATAACTAATAAATTTCTTACATATGTTGTAGTAGTAATTTAATGGGGGATTCACAACAAGGAAATAACAAAGGAAAGGGCAAAGAGAAAGAGAACTATGAATCTTGGACCATAGACGATACCAATGAGTTGTTGCACCTCTTGGTGGATGCTATCAATAGTGGATTGCATGATGCTAATGGGTCACTTAGCAAGCAAAATGTAGAAAGACTGATACTTCCTCGTCTTAATGCGAAAATTACGTTCCCAAAAACTTATAATAATTACTTGAGCCGAATGAAGTGGTTTAAGAAGCAATATAACAAGATGTCTACGCTTATGCGTAACAACTCTGGCTTTGGGTGGGACCCAATTGCAAAGACGTTCACTGCTAGTGATGAAGTATGGAAAGATTACTTGAAGGTGAGCTTAGTTCATAATCTTTTAAATATATTAATAGCTTACTAGTTTAGTACAATATATTATTTGCAAT